ATCTTTCCCCTCGCCTCATGTATATGTCAAGAAAATTCACCCCACTGCAATGGTTTTTTACTAAGACCTACATCAAAAGTACCATGACATTATGTATGAGTCAATTCCAAAGGTGCCCATCCCCCCCCCCGGGCATTTGAAACTTTTCAAATCTTGAGATACGAAAATGATGACGTCATACCGGAAATGACGTTTCATAACATTATCGATGACGTCATCSCATTTATCAAATTTTGCTATAACTAGTGATTTGATTGGATGTATCTTAACCAATCATATTATAGATTGTATTGTGCAATTGAAAATGGCCGCGGATTTTTGTATTTTTTCAGAACTAAAATGACACAGATATGCAAGGTAATTTGCGTTTTAATAGATGAAAAGAGATATTTCAAAATACTGATATATGAATCGTCATTATTCGGGAGATTTAGCGGTAAAATCTTGAGACCGGGAGAAACGGTCGAAAATCTTGAGACTCCCGGCGGATTATCCGGGAGAGTTGCTAGTAAAAGCGAATGAGTGGTCAAATGCCTGCCCCATAAGTCAGTTTTTTTACGCTAGTTTTCGAGTATTTTTGTTGCTTTTTATATCGTGATTTCTCATCGTGAAAGTACAAAAGATCGAGAATGTTCCCAAAAATGTGAAGCGCCTTTGAACTGTAGGATATCGGCGCTATATAAATAATACGTATTATTATTATTAAAATGCTTAGGTTCCCGAGATATTTTTATCATTTAACTTAAGCTTAAAAGTTCGTATTGTGTCACGAAATAGCGCTTTCGCATCTGAATCGATAATTTCCAAGATGGTCGCCTACTCGTCAAATGCCCGCCCGTCTGCTCCTAAATCACTGAAATCAGAGTTAAATTCCCCACTGTACGGAGGTAAAGTCTTGTCAAATGCCCGGGGGGGGATGGGCACCTTTGGAATTGACTCATACATTAGGAAATAAGAAGAAAAATACCCAAACAAATAATAAGAGTTCGATCAGGATATATAAATTATATATTCAAAAGACCGTCCAAAAAATCACAATTCACATGAAAAAACACGTCAATCAATTCGTCATAGTAGAGTAATTTGTTAAGTTACCTCGCCAACTTCGAGAGATGGGATGGCTACATCTTCGTAGCATAATTTCGTAGAATCACCATACTCGTGAAGAAYTACAGCTTTCATAGACATTTTTAAAATATTCGCGACGTGTTTCAGACCGTAGCTCAGCTGGAGATCGAGAGACCTTTAGTATCCACACAGGAATCCAATGGATACTAATAATGGGCACTGTTGAACGGACCTCATACACTCAAACAAACAAAACCTACCAAAAGCACGCTATAAGAAGATTTCTACCAATCTTCACGGCAAATGTGCAGGCTCTGGGTACGAGTTTGCTAATTTCTAAATGTGCGTCATATCAGATTGACAGCTGCCACTTAATGCTAACGACCTTACATAATAAAAGTTTCAACTGGACAACCGAAAAGCATACATTCCTTCAGACGACATACAGTGTTGTGGTTTTTGTCTCTTTCCCTCTCTCTCGGGGCCAAAACAACAACAGCAGAAAGAAAAGAAAAGTCGGCATTTCGCTGAAGGTTGGACCAATTCAACTAAACCTGCTTGCCGAAAAATACAAATGGAGAACCTCTCGAACTTGGAAATGACTGCCAATTCGGTTACAGGTACACAAGAAAACACGATGAGTTTTGAATTGTTCTTTTTCTGTAACAATATTGTAATTCTTGTATTAGCAACATTGAAAGAAAACAGCGCTATTTTAACCTATGCCTTTGAAAAAAAAATGTCCACTTCAGATTAAACCCGACAAAAATTATTTTGAAMGAGCGCTGCGTCGGGGCTGTGGCAAATAAAAAATCAAGTAAACACGTTTCCTTGCTCATGGAAATATATAATAGATCAATGCGGGACAAAGAGTAACTTACTGTATTATGAAGGAAAAATCTGTAGTTACTTCATGAGCTACCAGTACATCTCAGAATGGTGGCTTTCTCTCTRTCATTAAAAGCTAACTTACAGTACTACAGGACAAAGTTGCGCGGTCTATCGATAAAGTCTTTGAAAAAAAAAACGCGGAAATATTTGGCATTGTTTTTTGACGTTGACCTATGCAAAAAAAAACTAAAATCCTACGTAGTACATCCACGGCGGGTAACGGAGCTATTGGTAACGTAGAAACGAAATATCAACCGCTATATAAACCGCTTTTGGCAAGTAAGCGATTTGTTCACTGAATTCAATCGTATAAAATCGGCACGTACATTTCTCTTTCTTATAATTATTTTCATCAGATTAAATGTTTTTTTTGGACCGTGGTAAAATCATGTTTCCAAATGTCGTTTTCAGGCCTACATTGTAGATGAAACGCTCCGTTTAACGGTTTAGCCTTGTTGTTTTTCTCAACTGACAAATATTCTTTTTATTTCCATGGTTAGTTTTTTCGAATTGTTGCTCTCTTTACCGACTGCCCTGAAACTTCCATATTTCTGGTTTGTATTTTTTCCCCTAATTCTACTGAAGGTTCTGCCTTTTTCCTCCGACCAATTAAACTTTACTGCGGCTTATTACAGTACGTTGTGTAATACTAGAGTACAAACACTAAAACTGTGCAACATAAATACCACTAAATACTGCTAATTCTATTGTTTTCTAATGTTTAATTAACCAGGCGCGTAGCATCCTTTACGCATATACGCACGGCCGTACTAGTGGCAAGGAAACATGCATAAAAATTTTACTAAAATTACTGAAAAATTCACATTTGACATTTGACATTCAAATTTGTTTGTTTTTTTTGTCTTGTTTTTGTTTTGTTTTGTTTTTACGCCCGCTAGTTAATTAACGTTCGTTGGCACTAATTAAACATTCTGCTAATTGAGCCTTGCTGCTACTAATTAACCGTTGGATTAGTCCATGTCATGTGAAAGGAATGGGATGGAGTGTCTTGTGAGTGCCGGAGGAGTGTCAACTGGTTGCCTTGTCTCAGTATTTCTGTTGTTTATTGTGATATCGGCTCCATTTCAGGCGCGAACAAGACCCGCCCTTACATCTGYAGAGCTTGTAAAACAGAGCTCAGTGATATGACGATTTTGAGAGCTGGTGGCTCGTATTGGCATCAGGAATGCCTGGTCTGCCAGGACTGTGGTCAACTGCTTGAACAGAGGTGTTTTATTCGTGACGGTATGGTTCTGTGTGCCGATGACTTCTTCAGGTATAGTTACAGTATGTGCCACACGCCCCGGGGGTGGGGCTGGGGCTGGGGGGACTCCGGGGGCGTAAAAGTACCGGGGATACTAATCGGATCTCTCAGGTGTAAAACTTCGTGATTGGGAATCTTTTAGTGTAGGTTGCCAAATTAGAGTTTCTGGAAATTTGCATTTTCTACAATTTCTTAGGGTGTCGGAAAAGAAAAGAAAGAGCGCATCCGGATATTGAATTTCCTCTGCGTTTTGTTTTGTCATTAAATATTTAATTCATTTTATCATTGGAACTGATTTAATTTAACAATATTTGTAGTACAATCTCTTATAAGAGATTAGGGGTTAAAAATTTATTCAGCCACGTCCTTTTTTCAAGACTTCCGGGATCTTTTAGGGGACGTAAGCATAAAAGATAAGAAAGAAAGATAAAAAAAGAAAATATAAAAGTAATTGTGAGACAAGCGTTGAAATAAAACATCGACATAAGCACAGCGATAAGCATAAGGCCAAGCGTAAGCTAATTCATTAAAAGGACAAAAGAATAAACCAAAAAACCCCGCCCTCTTCTTGTACTTTATTGAGTCCCTTCTAATGTCTGAATCTATCTTGCTTTATGCTTATGTTGATGACATGTCATAAGGTATCTTGAACGGACCGAAGGCGTAACTCACTAGCTTTTCACATTGCGTAAATGTCATTTGAAAACCGAACAAAGTCATGCGCCACAATAATCATATTTTTCTCGTTTATCAGGCGATTTGGGCCAGTTTGCTCAGGMTGYAATCAAACCATACTTGCCAGTGAAGTTGTTCGTAAGATTAAGTCCAAAATTTACCATCTTGRCTGCTTGTGCTGTATCGCGTGCAAAAAACARCTCGAAACGGGAGATCAGTTTTACATGCTCGAAGACGGGAAGGTCATTTGCAAGGATGATTACGTCGAGAAAACTAAAACTGGTAAGAAAAGGACATCGTTGGTTTAGTAATATTCCTGGAAARCCTTCCAACGGAAAATCCTTACGGATATAATTATATGTTATGGAGAGCTCTATGTTCCAACGATTCTGATCGAGATTTGGATTAGCAGGTTTATTTTCAGGCTTCAACGATTTTTGATTTTATGATATACTATTTTCTAAAGATCAATATCTTAAAAAAACATAATAGGATATATTAATAAAAATGCATTTCAATGAAAAGTGTTGCTCCTTTAAGCTAATATGCGCGTGACTCCCCCATAAGAAAGAAAGAAGACAGAAAGGCTCTTTCTCTTTGTCCCGTTCTTCCCACCCCCACGCCACACCTTATGACCCCCTTCCCCCGCCCCTCCCCACACCTCCATGAACTAAAACTGCATTTACCAACCGAAGCTACCGACATGGCTGGCCAAGAAAAGAAGCGAGCCCGYACATTCATCAACACAAGTCAGCTGTCTCGTCTTATGCACGCCTACTACAATATGCCTAAACCCAACCTAATAGARCGCCAGCGCATTGCTACAGAAATAGGACTGGACATGCGCGTTGTGCAAGTCTGGTTTCAGAATCGCCGTGCAAAGGACAGACGGAACTTGAACAAGCCGATGCATCTGCAATCCACCAATCGCAGAAAGAAGCACTCTCGCTCAAACACGTGGTCAGCAGGGATGTCACGTGGTGCGGAATTTGACAACGACGAGGACGCCTGCAGTGGTAAGGATCATCCTTAAGAAGATCGTTAGTATTGATTATCATGTTACTAATAAACAATCTTCTTTCAAGAAATTTCAGATTACAGTGACATTTGCCGTTCAAGAGAGGACCTAAGGAACCCACCTCAGTCGAGCAGTCCCTGGARCCACAGCCCTAGACGCGATGAAGGGTCATCCCCGTCAACATTCACGGAAACCCAGCAGTTAGATTTCCATGCCCTGCCCAAAATATCAATGCCCCCAATCAAGGACTTGAACTTCTCAATTAGTGACGTCAGAACGGTGACGTCAGAAGTTTCCCAGAACATCCAAGGAATGTCTATTAACAGATTCAACTTGCCAAACGGGACTAACAACGTTGCCATGGGAAGTGCTTCGAGGTAAGATTTCCATTATGAAACTAGGGACAGAGAATGAGCGCGGTGTATGAATGGGAGAGGGACGAGTGGCCACCGTTCGGATGTTCTGTTCTGTTGCGTTTTGTTTTGTRCACAACACAACACATGTACAACACAAGAGTTAACAAGAGTTCTTTTCCTATAGAATGTTTGGAGATTACAGCCAAACCTTGCCATACTGGAACACTTATCTCAACGCAATGACGAGYAATCCATCTAACTTTGTTGATTCAGCATTTCCGACGATGTCGTCACACTATTTCCAGTCTCCCCTATGCAGTACTGTTGGAATTAGCCCACGGTATGGGGAAKCCTTTCAAGGGACTGGTAAAGGAAGCAACAATTACCAATCCTAACTCACTATGGAGTAAATGCATGTTTTCAACAAAAATTGGTAACAAATATAGTCTACTTTTGCTATGAGGGACACCTTTTGAGAGGTCATTAAGTGCATGCCTGCCTCATTTTCCGCTATTTCTTTGGAGAGAGAATTTGTAGGTAATAAGGGTCAATCCACAAAGCAAGAGTACATTTCACGTTTTGTATATATTAATTCAGCGTGACTCTAAGCTGTCTCTTTGGCTTTTTATAAAAGTCTAATTTAAGTGATTTTAATTAATGGATTACAGTCGGGCACGGTTTATTCCATTCATTTTGTGTTATTGCCCATGTTCGAGTTATTTATAATGTTAATTA